GATTGGATTCTCCTATCTCTTATCTACGAAATCTAGATCCGCTTTTGTCGTAGCAAGCGCATGTGAATTATGTACGACATGTACCCAATCAGTGGCAGAACGGAGTTGCTATTTTATTTCAAAAAGAAATGTACGCTCGTAGAGGAATTTAAATCAGTTTCACCCACAAACCCGAAAGATCCTCTACCCAGACCATTTGTTTTTAGTTTTTACGTTACCTTAATTTCTGTTCACCTCATAAAGGGTGTGAAGCACTTGTGAACTCTGCATATAGCCTATCTCGCCTGGTTTGACTCATGTTGGGAAATAATCTGTCGTTTGTCACACGTCAGCAGAGACGAAGCCGACCTGCTATTCTGCAAATGATGATAAAGATTTACTTGCTGAATGACATGCGTACTGAGAAACTGGGTGAACTTGAGACAATCAACCCAGCTGCTTCCATATTATCTGAAATCTGTGACGATTTGAATGAATGTTCTCGAGCTATCGCTAGGCGCCAAATTCCCGACATAGAACCAATCAAGAAGGTAAAAAATTATCAGAAGCCTGATAATATCTTCATTATTTTTTGTTACTCAACAGCTGATTAGTCAAGCTATTGTCACAGCCGCTCGCGAGTTGCATGATGAGACATGTTCGGATGAGGAATTCACCCTCACCATCTCTTCCATTCACGTGGCTTACGATCGCATCGAGAAACGTTTGGCGAACTTCTGCCAACTAGTACAGGCTCAACCAGATATTGTAACCAGCCTTCGGGAAGTTATTCCTCCAAACGAAACGGAGATGGTAAGCTTATTGCTTGTTTTGAAAAGTAATCCTTCAATCGAAAACTTCATGAGATTAAAATTAACCTTGTTATTTTTAGCCTTTCACGCTTTGAGAGCTTTTATGCACATATTTCTGAATTATGAATGAAAAAAGTTCCGTAGTAAGATTGACATGATCTAATAATACCTTCAAGGTCCTTGATGCCGTCGCCCTAGAGATTTGCTTGTCCAAACTTGAACCTGGTGCTGAAGAGTTTGACGATCCACAGACTCGCTTAGTGTGGTGTAACAGAGTGTTGAGTATCAGAACAAGTGCTGAGAACATGATCAGTAATCTTTCACCGTATGGCCGTAAAGTAAACCACATTCTACGTAATTGCAGGTATTGCACTTTTTAAAATTCTAGATCGACTAATCACATTTCAGTTTTTTTGGTGGAATTCGCTTTGCTTTTGGCTCTTAACCTCTTACCTGAAGTACATTCAAAAGAAATAATAACCGCAGTCAAGATTACTTTTTAGAGCTTGAACCTAAACTTAATAGGTAAGGATATTATTGTATCTGATATCAATACTTTTTTTTTCTTTCGTGAACTTTCTGTGTCAGGTCAACTTGGCAGAGAGTAAGTGCTGTGCGATTGTTTATTGAACATACCTGCCTTGGCACAGTTGCATGCCACCCAGCCGATGTGAAGAATGTTTTCAAACTGTGGAAGGTGGGTCGAAACATCTATGCTCGTATGTGAACAGCATAAGAGTGTGTTGTGGTTCTTAGTGCTTTGACTTAAGATTGAAAATTAGCGCTACTATGTTCAAAATAAATATTCAATTTACAAAACAATCTTTTTAACAGGCATTAGGTGATGAGACAGACTTCACTAAACCGCAAACAATGCTAGTTATTGAAAAGTTTCTTGTGGATTGCAGTGAAGCTGTTAGTAAACGTTATACCAGGTAAGAAGATGGCAGTAAAAATGTTAGGATAGTTGGTCATAAATTGTACCTTTGTCATTGTGCTTTTACAAAGACAGTTGATGTTTTTCTTTTTTGACAATGTTCTTGCCCTCGATTCGCCTCGATGAGAATGAACCTCTCCTTCCAATGTTCATCGTGCTTCCGTGCGTGCGTCTAAAGACTTACACAGATAGTTTTCGACGCAGCCCTAAAGCAGCATTTCTTCTATCCCACAGTTATGGTGTGAATACCTGTCCTGTGTGTCTGGATGGTCTGGCTCAGAAGGATCCTGTTAAAATGCCCTGTGGTCATGTTGTTTGCCTTGTTTGCGTCACTAACTGGATTGAAAGGGAGAGAACATGTCCGTACTGCAAGGGAGACGTACCGGATGATTTCAAGATCTTACCCACCAGATTAATAAGGTATAACGTATTTATTAAAGCCCAGGTAGCCCAAGCTCGCACAGGGAGCCATCGTAAATACGTAAATTTTGTGCAATAGGCCCTATATAATAGTACCATTTGTGGAAATAACGGTTACCTATGTTTGAAAGCGCTTTAATTCAATTGTTCTAAAACCAAAACTAAAGCAATCACACAACAGCCAATCAGAAAAAGTGCTCTAAGGAATTAATAAAGAAAACACAGATGCACTAGAGGTCATCTCGCTAACAGGTTAGTTTCCACCACAAGTCTACGGGTTGGTTCGCTCACAACTCATCTCGCCTTTTTCGCTTCACATCATCTTGCCTACGAATCGATACGCCCCCAGATCAGCTCGTCTACGGAATAGTTTCGCCTACAATTCATATCGCCTATGGATCGGTTCGCCCCCAAGTCAACTGGCCTACAGATCAGTTTCGCCCACATGGAAACAAACATATTCAAGGGGTAAACGCGCGTGACCAAGTCGGGAGAATGGAGCTAATTTCTAGATCTATCATAAAGCTCGGTAAATCGAAATCAGGCTATTCCATTGTACTTTCAACACTTAATTGAGAAGTTCAAAAGAATTTGAACTGGAGCATAGTTCTAAGTTTCTCGCATATGGCGCTACGGGTGAGATCGATAAAGGACTTGACGAGAATTCAACGAAAATTTGTGCTTTCCTCTTTGTAAATTTATCTTTATTTGCTTTACACTGTAATAACGACATAAAAGTCTTTGGAGTTAGATATAACCGCTTCGCATGATGTTTTCCCTTATTTTAAGAACCATTCATTGACTGAGTTGTGTGTGCAATTGTATTTACAGGAAAGCTGTTCGAGAACACTTCGACTTCCGTCGTCGGTGTAACTCCTTCTTCATGGAGCTTGTCTCACTGTTCTGTTTTGGCAAAAAGGACGATGAGGGTGTTATGGATCCTGAACTGTTTGAAATGTTCATGAGTTATGTAATAGAAGCCAGTTCAAAGACTAAGGATTTTTCTCCTTTTCCGGAACATGGCATT